GGAACTCGCTCGCCCCACCAAAGATTTCCTATCTTTGCTTGGGAAGCTGCAATGGGTGCCATTCTTACATTTGATAACCTCATGAAAAGGGGCTTTGTTCTGGCTAACTGATGTGTTACGTGCAAGCAGAATGCTGAATCTTGTAACTATCTTCTCCTCTGGTGCCCCGCCTCCTATAATCTGTAGTCTATGATTTACAAGCTGATTGGTTTTTCCTGGGTTATCGCTGGCTCTGGAAAAGAGTTACTTGCCGGGGAAGGCATCAATTTTATCAACAGATGGCACAAAATTATTCCTCTTACTATCCTCTGGATCATTTGGAAGGAAAGAAACTACAGAACTTTTGAAAACAGAGCTAACATTACTTCTATCGAGGACAAGTTGTTGCACTTTTTTGGTTCTATTGTTCTTGGTCATAACCTTGTCTCTTTTGATGATCTTGGTTATATTGTAAATACTCTTACTGACCTGTAAATTTCTTTTGTACACGGGTTTGCCCCCTTGGCGGCTCTTTAATATATCTTCTTACTTTTATCTCAAAAAAATAATCATGCCCAAAATAAGGAAAAAAAGGAACTGTCTTTGTAAGTAGCACTGCAGGGTAAGACAGTAGTTCAACTCCCACAAGAGGAAAAATCAAGCAGCTTTTCTCCCTAGGCGTGAAATCTATTTTGGTTTAGGATTCATTTATTTTTTGTGATAGAAACTTTGGTTCAGGTTTTATGCTTTTCTTTCCAAACTTCTGACCTAATTAAAACACATTATTTTACATTAATTAGTGTTATGGATTGCTAAAGATCCTTGAAGTTAGAAGTTTGGAATATGGCATAATAGGAACTGTCTAAAGTTAATGAGGGTTAACAGGATGAACTAAAGATACTTAGAATTAAGAAACCAGTGAAATTGTTTTTCATATAAATGAAAGCAATTTATCAATAAAAATTAACCAAGAATCTACCAAGAAAAGAAAAGGGGTTGTGAAATAACTAACCCTAGGAGATCCAAGGTTCTCTCTAACAAGTTCCAACTGTAGGCTGTCAAGGTCAAAAATCAGAAAAGCAAGCTTCAAGCTCGTTACATGGTTTCACCACGAAATGGACCAAATGACTAGATCACAGTATGATATAATCATGGAAATGGATCTACTCAAGGATCTATTTACAGTATAATCCTGCAGTAAACTTTGAGCTTTCTTGCTTAATTTTCAGCACTGACCACCTATTGTTGGGACTCATTGAAAAGAATCCTTCCTGCTCCTAGAGTTAGGTACCCTGAGACCCTTTTACTTGGTAAATTCTTGTCTTATTTTTGTTGTCGAATTAGCTTAGATTGTTTTTTTCTGAGATAAAAAAAAAAACTAACATTAGTGCTGCACCACGAGGTGGAGCCCAAAATAACTTAATAAAGACAGAAGTAAAACCTACAACATCGGTCCCATCATGAATGTGCTTGCCTTTGTTAAAGATCCTAAATCAACGATCTCTACATCAGAAAATATATTTTTTTTGAGAAGCTAATATCAGAAAAGTATGAGGATAGGTTATCAAAAGCTCTCTTATTTCTCTCTCTCTGTAGATAACCCAAAAGATCGGCAAGGGAGTTAAGGGAAATGCCACTTCTAGTGCAGGCCCTGGCTTACTGACTGAGGCATAACACACACAGATATATATCCAGATAGGTTATGACAGCTGGACAATCATAAAAAAAGAGGGATTGATCTCAAATTATAAAAACTTACAATCACTTGGACATGTCTCAACTCAGATTACTCAAACAGTTCCATAGTAACAACACCAAACAATCATTAAAAGCTTAAATCTAAGTACACTGGTATTGTCCTTGGAACACTATAGCTAAGTTAATGCATGAAAAAACAGAGTAACCGATATTAGATAGTTATATAAGAATAATTCACAATGCTACCAGTTGTACATAATCCACAACATACTAAATCTGAGATAATTGAATCCAGCATAAGCAGTTGATGATGAGAATCCAAACTATGTGAAAAACATAACAATGATTTGATGATAGTAATAGCAATTATGTTATATATGATAATTATGAACTTCAAGTACAAAGGATATTCCTTTCTACGACCTTTTTCACTTGCTCGATCACGAAGATGACTAAGTCGCATTATCTCTGTTTCCAACCACTGCATCAGCAAAGAAAAGAACTCAGTATATGAGGGAAGAAAACATGGGTATTGAACTGCTGCAAACCATAGACATCTGATATGTAACTGATTCTCTTATGCCATTGTTCCCATTAAAACAATCAATACAGGTAAAAGATATGCATTCACAATGTCAAATTCAGAAGTATTGCAATTAAATGGAAAAATAATGCGGAAATAGAAAGCTAAGAAGTAGCTCGAAATAAGAAGGTCATAGTCAAGGAACCTTTCTGGCGATTGCAGGGGAATGGAACATGGATGGTGGAGAAAGGAATCTCAACAATTGGGAGATTAATGAAATATGAATCGCTTCTCCTGGCCCTTTCCAAGTGCGTTCCCAATGAGGCCGAGGATGTTCTAGTTTTGTGCTAAACTCTAAGGGGCTTTCTCCATTAAGTCTTTGGGCATCATCTTCTACAAAGATTTTGAAGGTTAATGCATTGTGTAGATTGGCATTTTTTTTCTTCGGAAGTGCAGAGAGAATGTATTTTAACACTGGTTTAATTGGTAAGGACGGAAAGAATCTTGGTAAATGGATGTTTCTTGTTTAAAAAGGATGCAAAATCGCGCAACCATATTCTCGTGGTGCCTGGTTTGCATATTGTCTGTGAACCTTAGCCTACAGTTTTCTGGGGATAAGTTGGGAAACAGCAGATTCAGTAAGGGAGAAGATCCAGGCTAGTAGTGGAATGCACAAGATAAATGATCTTCAAGGTTTATTCCATTGGCTACCTTTTAGGTCTTTTGGAAGGGAAGAAACAGAAGAGCTTTTTGACGGAGGTGAGTTGAATTTTGATAGATCTAAGGTCTCATGGTTCCAAATCCTAAGCTGTTTGATTAAAGGCCATCCTACTTATTCTTGTGAGGATTTAGGGAACCTAATAGATAGTTTATTAGATATATAAACTCTTTGTCCACGAGTTTGCTTTCGTGCACTTAAACATAATATATAATTTTTTTCAAAAACAAAAGAAACAAATAAACCATTATCACCATGTGCAAAATACATGTAAGAATATGCTTCTTCAATGTCATTCATAGTTATCAGAAAATATCATAGCATATTGCACAACGAAAGAAGATTCTATCAAGAAAGAAGAGAACACAAGAAGAGAGGATAAGGTATTCTTAAGTAATATCAATCATGGTTCTTGAAAAAGCAGTTAATACTGCATAGCATATTCTTTGAACGCGAAACTAAGCGTTCCCCACAGAATGAAAGTTGGATGTTCCTAAAAGTATTAGGAATGAGCTATAATAAACAAAAAATCATAATGTTTTTATGAATCTTCAATTTTCCTCCCATATCAGTCACTACCCATAGAGCACAAGCAAGAAACTTACATCTTTGACTCTTACTTCCTGGATTGATATGGCCTTTTCCTGAATGTCACCCTGCATGAAACCAATACATCTTAAGAACGAGTGGACAGAAAGGAAGAAGGAAATCAAGACTTGAAGGAAAATAAAATGTCAATAAAGCATAGCATTACCACAGTCAATCTGTTTATAAGTCCACACTTTATGCTCTGGCGAAGACGTTTACATTCATCCTGATATATCAGAAAAAAAACATCCTTAATGATAAATGGGAATTACATAGAGCACAAATAGACACATTGTCCAATAAGTTCTTAAAAAAAGCCAGTCATAAATTTCCATAAAATGTGACTGATGAATATCATTCACTTTGTTTTGCAAATAAAAAAATATAAAATTGGCAGTTTGGATTATTTAATCTGTTAAAAAGTTTCAAAATATTATTTTAAAGTAATATCCGTACTCAAAAGCATGCTATTAAAGCCTGGCCAATTGGGTGAAAAGGCTCTTAGAAAAGTGTGGTGAGAAGATGTGTACTTTCTCAGTAGCCTAATAAAGTGCCAATTACCATAGAATTGTTTTCTTATATTTTCTTTGAGATAAAAAGAATGTGTATTAATGTGTATTAATGTGTATTAATGTGTATTAAGTGTAAGACACCAAGGGAGTGTTGGCCCTGTACAAAGTATTTATATATTAGTTTAAAACATCAAAAACCTTCACAAAATCATCCCACCCAAACACCCATAGAATTGTTTTCTTATAAAAAATATAGATTTAAATATCACTAATCTTTTCTACACCTTTATTTCAAATTCGAACTGAAAAAGAACTTTCTACCTCAAATCTCAAATCAAAATAGGAAACGCAAAAGGCACAAGATAGGGCACTAATCATTCTATTAGTAATCACCTCAGTGAACTCTTGATTTGAGATTATATCAATCGATATCACCTCTGTCTTGTTTAAGTTTAAAATTTCAAGCAGAAAATCAGTTGTTTTTTTGCCCACTTTATATGGCTGTGTAGCTTTGCTCGTGCCTGCACATTAAAAGGAGAAAGAACAAACTTAACAATCTTAAAAATTATCTTCCTTCCTTGCACCGAAATGGAAGAGAATGGAAGAGAACCGAAAAAAAAATAGTAAAGAAGATAAGGTTATCATATGATATTACCAACAACTTGGACCAGCCTATATAAATCCTGCTTTTGACTGCTGCCAGATATTCTTATTCTCACAAAAGAGCCAACAACTTTGTCATGAAATGTCTCAATATCTTCGATTAGTTCCTCCACCAGATTGCGCCGCAAGTAAATCAAATTAATATTGTGATTGTCAATAGCTGCATAATCATCTAAATTAGATTGACGACCTCTATCATCACTCTTTTTACGTGTTTTACGTTTCTTGTCTTTTCCCCTCTTCACTAGAGCATCAGGGCTGTCGTCGGCCTCTAAATGATTAGCTTCAGTGTCAACTACACTCTCTTGAAGTTCATCGGCTTGAGAATCCTCCTTTACAAGAAAGTGAGAATCAAGAAGATTTAACATCTCAAAATGCCCCACATGAGGTTTCCCAAACAAAGTTTGAAGCCTAGAATCACAAATAACTTGACTTTTGCGGCGAGGATCACGAAGGTTATACTTTTTTATGTACTCCAATAAGAGATTATGTACTTCTGACTGGGGTAGAAAAGATTTATCACCATTTCTCATATGCATCACAACCTCCAGTAATTCTTTAGAGGCCCACTCCACCTTTTCACCTTTAGGAACCCCTTTAAGAACAGTTGTAGCTCTGCTTGGTGCACTCCCCTCCCGGGCATCAGACCTCAAACCTCTCCTGGTCTTTCTTCCTTTCGAGATAGTTTTTTCCGCATTTCTAGATGAGCTGTCTGAACATGATCCTCCATCATTGGCAGTGTCATCATCTTCAGCCCATTCATGCTTATTAGCACGTAATTCAGATCCTTTCCAAGGGTTTTTAGCCTGAGACAGTTCCTCTAAGTTAATTGATTCTCTTGCTTTTAGATCAATCCAGTAGTCCTTAAAAAGATATTCCCAGCTACTTTTGTCATCAAAATCTACCTGTGCCTGAAAAAGAACAAAACCAAGTAAAACAAGTCACGTCAGAAAAGAAAATCTCAAGGAAAAGAAAACCATTAACCAAAAAATAAATTCAGGTAACTGAATCCGGCTATTGCACCAAGTCAAATTTGTTTATCAGGGCTACAAAGGATGAAGAAAGGACTTGATACGGCTTAAAGCTAACAACTATAAGGCATCAAAAGCTTTTGGTTTAACCATGATGATACAGCCCTTGGACTTTGCATTGATATCCCATTCTCCAGAGCCTTGAAAATGAGCAGCAGTCAAAGCACAAAACAAAGATATCCAAGACAGCATAAAACATTAGATCAGAATGGTAAAAATACCGTTTCTTTCTTTTCCTGCTCATTCTTTTCAATCATCATGACTGTATCCAAGCATGTCTCACAGAAACCCTTGTTGCCCCTGACACATAAGATGACAGCATCTTTGATACATCCTTTGCACAATGAAAATGTACATGTGTAACACATGTAGTGTGCATTCTTCTCACATTTGCTACATAGATGCCAACCTAAGTCATGAAAATAGCATTACTTGCATTAGATTGAGACAACAAACACAAGAGGCCATATTCAAGAGTTAGAACTTCAACATAAGAAAAAGAAAGATCAAACCACACAGGACACGGAGTTCAAAGGAAATATTCCAAGTGTATCATGATGCAGATACAATATAAAATAAGGCAAGAAGGAGCATGTGTATCCCTAAGAACAGAAGCACAAAGACAAACTGCACGCAACATGAAGGGAATAAAAATGACCACATAAACATGAATTAACTTGACAGTTTATGCTAGTACAAATTGATTTGAACAAGAGGAAGACACCTTCACTGTGAGATGAAACCAAAATAAATTTAATCACAAAATATTAAGCACTGTGGTTCACCAACACTACAAATTTAAGGTAGCATGTCCTTTGACTAATAACAAAATAGTTACCAATAAGGCCTGTTATTCTAATGTTGCCAACAATTAGAAAATTGTCAGAAAAAATACAAACAATAGAGAGCCGCCCATGGATTATGCCATTGGAGTTTGAATATCTTATGGATCTTTTTTTCCAGGCTAGCAAGTACTCTTTCCAGTGGAATGCTAATAATTTCCAGAAATAAAGGTTGCCTTTGAAACTAATAGCCTTTAGAAGAAAAGATTGTACTTCAAACAATGTGCAGTAGACCAACTTGACCAATACGAGCACTTGCTGTTAAAATTTGAGAATTCTTTCTAGTCATTTCCTCTGAACACAATTCTGCTCCAGATATTATGTACATGACATTTGTGCAAACAAAACAAGCAAATGAATCTTTACATCATTTCATTTACCTAGTAGCATTTACATCAGTCTCCCATTCCATGATGCTAGAATGAAAGAGCTGCTACAAGTAAAAACTATTATTGACAGTTCATATCTCTCATCATCCAGAAGATGATGCATTTGGAAAAAGTGACATGTTCCTGAATACAGAGTATCTCACACAACATAGTGCATAACAAATCGAAAGGCAAAAATCAGAACCAGAAACATCACATCCATAAGAAGAATATATGATAAATAATATTAGCAACAGATGATGAAAGGACTTGGAATCATGAATAACTGAACTGGATGTAATTTCGGATACAAATAACTGGTACATAAACTTACCACAGTTCCATTTACCCCTAGCTCGAAAGAATGCCTCATCCCGACCAACACATGCAGGATGGTAAGCCTTTGGACATCCCCTGCAAAGGAAACAACCAGACAACAAAGTTATTCACGAATAAGCAGACGCTGAAAATGACAATGTTTTACTGATGAACAGTTTACCTGCGGTCACAGAGGAAAAGGTCACCCCCATCAAAGCAAATGAAACAAACATCCTCCTCTACCTTTTTCCTTGTGGCTCCTCTAATTGCTGACGCTCTCACATTCTTCCCACGCTTCCTTTTTCCACCAATGGTCTTACTTGCTTCATCCACCTCCTCCATTCCCTCTGCTCCCTCCTCTTCGCCAACTGTCTCAATTGTATCTGCCGCATCAGTAATCATGAACTCCTCCTGTACCTCCATGTTCTCTGTCTCGTCCATCTCCTCTGCTGTCTCTATTCCCTCATCTATGTCAGCTAGAGCAGTCTCCTCCTGCGTTTCTGTTCTCTCCACCTCATCAACCATATCTGTTTCTTCTTGCGTTTCTATTGCATCTACCCTGTCAGTCATCACTGCCGTTCCTTCCATATGTGCTTCCTCTTCTGTTTCAACATCCGCGCTTCCCATTTCCGATGTTTCTATCCTTTTAGGCATTCCTGTCTCCTCTGACTTCTCCGTTTCCTCCATCATCTCCCCTCTATCTGCCGTAACAGCCATGTCCGCCTGCTCTGCCGCGTCAACAACCTCTTTCTCGCTCGGAACACCATTTTCATCCACCATATCAGTCGCCTCCTTATCTTCAATTTCCCTCGCCTTCAGCTTATCAGTCTCCTCTTTCTCTTCAACAGTGATTACCGTTCCCTCCATAATCTCCACTCCATCTCCCACGCCAGCCAACTCCGCCTGCTCTGCCATGCCAACAACCTCTTTCTCACTCGGAACACCGTTTTCCTCCACCATATCAGTCGCATCCTTATCTTCAATTTCCTTCTCCTTTAGCTCATCAGTATCCTCTTTCTCTTCAGGAGGGATTACCGTTCCCTCCATAATCTCCTCTCCATCTCCCACGCCAGCCAACTCCGACCGCTCTGCCATGTCAACAACCTCTTTCTCGCTCGGAACACCGCTTTCCTCCACCATGTCAGTCGCGTCCTTATCTCCAATTTCCCTTTCCTTCAGCTCATCACTATCCTCTTTCTCTTCAGGAGGTATTACTACTCCGTCTGCAACATTTTTTTCCTCCGCAATTCCCCTATCTTCCGCCACTTCAGCCATTTCCCTAACCTCCGCCGTAGTTTCTTTCGCCACATCGACCACTGCCGGGTCCACGGCCTCCATATCTTGCGTCAGGTCATCCTCCCTATCGATCAGACCATTCTCACCATAGACATCCTCTCTCTTCTCTCCATCCCTCGCAATTTCAGCCTCCTCTTCTCCAGAAAACATTTGTGCTGCGGGTACTGGTGGTCCCAGGGACTCATCACCGTCAACAATCACCTTCTTCTCACCATCCTTCTCCTGCTGTCTGCCAGCCAAACTCCCCTCCTCGACCACCACCGATGTTGACGATACTCGCGACTCGCCATCGCCTCCACCGAATCCCGGCTCCCCCAACTCGACCGGGGAATCACGTTCCTGGTCTATCAAACCCTCTCCCCCAGCAACCGCCACCTCCTGTGTCTCCTGTGTCTCGATTTCACTTCTACCCTGTCGCAATTCATCCAACTCGGATGTGGACTCGAGCACACATTGGGGCCCCCCATCTTGATACGCTTCCTCCAAGCCCACTGTTACCGTTGCTGCGGAGTTATTGTCGAGTTGAAATGAGTGGCCATCCAAAGCTTCTTCTTCCTCGGCGTTTTTATCCATTTAAATGATTTATCGTGACTGAAATTCAGAGAAAACCCTAGGGATTGGAAACCTTGTTAGGGTTTTGAGTTCTCACATAAAATTTTGCAGTTGTTAATTTTATTCGTGGGTGAAATGAATGAATCTTAAACGGAGCGAAAGAGGGAAAGGAGGGGGGTGGGGAGAGAGTTCGCAGAGAGGAAAAACACTCATGACTCAACCTAGGGAGAGGTTCCCTGGAGTTATGTGTACTGTTAAAAGACCTTTTGGTCCAGAGTAGGTGGCGAAATGACTCTTTCGGCCCCCGACCTCTGTGGAACCCACTAATTGGTTATTATCCGGTGGTGAGTGGTGCAGCTTCACACGAACGCCCGTGTGAAGTTTGATACGGAGTTGAGACGTTCCTCACCGTCTGATTTATTGAAAAAGAATCTGCCAGACTTTTCTTTTAACAAAAAGGTCAAAAAAAAAAAAAAAAGTATAAATGTTATTTTTCTTGTCCAATTATCTAATTTCAGGAATGAGTCTCTCCGTTAGCAGAAAAATATCTGCTTTATAGTTAAAATAATTAATCATTTAAAACTTTTATCCTTTAAATTGTATTTACCTTAAAATTTTAGTACAGAATAAAAATCTATGAGCAAAATCCCATACTTAAGAGACCAAAATATAATCTTTAGATTATTTAAATCCAAAAAGATGCAGTGATTGAATATTAAAATAATAATAATAATAGTAGCATTATTTAATGACAAAATTTGGTCACAATCATTACATTATAGATAGTTTGTGTGAATATATTTTATAAAATTAAATAAATTTATCTTAAGACTAATCAATATTTAAATAGATAGTTAATAATTTAATTCTCTTTAGGTTGAATCCTATTACTCGTCCACCAAAATTAAATGCCTCCTTTAACTTTTTTGAGCTAAATATTTATTATTTTGTTAAACACAAACCATTAATTCAGAATTAGAGGTGTCCTCCGTTCAATTTTTATAGTTAATTTCTGTGTAATAATTTGATTGATTACCCTAAAGAAATGGTTGATACCAACAACCCTTTTCAAGTTGAAATAACTAATGTAATTTCTTAGATTGAGCAAAACTATAGTTCAAATATATATATACTTATTTGATTTAGCATTTAACTCTATTTACATCCACACACTGGAGATGCAATTCAAGCCAGGTTATTCACCAGGCATTAGGCTAGCCCAAGTTTTTGCATAAACTACATATCCAGACTCTAATCTATCTCGGTAAATGGGTCGGACTAAACCAAGTCAAACAAAGTTTGCTTAGCCCCAGCCCCAGCCCCAGCCCCAATCAAATCAAAGCCCGAAGACCTGCAACATTATTCCAGCACCAACTGTTTATCCAATTAAGAACTCACAAATTTAATGACCACCAAGTGAAAACCAAATCAACCCCAAGTTTCTATTAACTAATAATGATAGGTACGTTATTACAAACACAAGCAAAAGTAGAGACAGGATTACTAAGTGATAAAAGCACCTTGAAAATGTCTTCAACTAAGTCCCTATTGCATAAATCCCACACCCCATATCCTATTAGGTCCAAAATGTTCTACCAATTTCATTTAAAGAAACCAAAGGAGCAAACTGCGGACACAAACACAACACTGACACAGATTGCAAGTCACACTTCCTCTCCCACATCCATCAATACCTCCGCGGATAGTGGTCCATGAGCCTTCCCGAAGGACACTCATAAGCAAAGTGTCCCCGGCCTCCACAGTTGCGGCAGATCATCAAGGGACCCATGCAGTCCCTACTCATATGACCCAACTGCTGGCAGTTCCTGCAAACAATGTCCCGGTGGTCACGGTAACCACCGCCACCCCGAATACCACCACCACCACCACCACCACCACCACGATCTCCCAGGATGTTGGCTTTTGGGCACTGTCTAGCTACGTGCCCAGCTACATTGCACAAGTTGCAAACTGGATCATTGGTACATTCACGTGCCAGATGACCTGTTTTCCGACAGTTGTTGCACGCTTTATCATTTGTGCAGTCAGCTGCAATATGTCCTTGCTTGTAGCAGTTGTTGCACAGCCTCAAGTCCCCAGGTGGAAGTGGTGGAGCTGTGCAATCTCTGGCCCGATGTCCTGCCTTGCCACAGGTGTGACAGATGCCTTCATTCGAACAGTTGCTGGCCATGTGCCCGGGCTCCCGACAGTTCCAACACAATGATTTTGTTGTGCATTCTGCCGCAATATGCCTGCTCAAACATTTCAACACATTGTCACAAAATTCAGATCTAAAGCATTACAAACATCTATAAATGAAAGAAAAAAATAAAGAAAAGGGAAAATTTATATCGTTCACTCCCATCACTACCCTACTATGAAGTTATTATTTCATATAATGTACGTTTGCAGCTAACAGAATCCATTTTCTCTTCTCAAAAACAGAAAGATATATCCATTCCTTTAAGTCTACACTATATCTGCATCACAAGATTGCACTCGAAAACTATACTAGTCATGCACATTGATGGGTTCTATATAAAATTTACATGTTTTTTGTTTTTCCTTAAATGGAATTGATTTGGGGAGAAGTGACGACACTAATTAATATGATAAAGGTAATGACTAGCTGGAGATGGAGGAAGTGCTGCATGGGGAACAAGATCAACAAATGAATGGCAGCAAACCAATAATCCTGGAATTGGAGGTTCTCAACAGAGGTGGAGAGACATCAAGGCGGTTAATTGGAGGTTCTCAACAGAGGTGGAGAGACATAAAGGCGGTTAAATGGTTGAAATGCTGTGGGTAACATTCTAACTACGATTGTAACAAACAACACCCCATCAAAAACTATCACAACAAGGCCAGGAGTGGCGGCAGTCATTACAATCTAACACTGGGCAACTGACATCGTGTAAGAATTGAAGGCATGAGATGCTTTAATATGGATTGAGGCAGAAAGAAAGAAGGATAATTTCAAAATAATGGATGGAATAAAGGTTTAGCTACAGAAATTGGAGCTTAAACCCACCAGAAAGGGAGAAAAGCATTTTGCTTATTATTAAAAATCACTTATTAGGCATTAGCCTAGAAGAAGAAGAATACTCAACCCTACATGAATATCAACATATATACATCCCATACTGAAGTTCAATAACCAAGATATTGCAACACAGCACAAACTGAAGGGAAAAATAGTGGATTAAAAACTTGTGGAACTGCGCAAGAATAACAAGTTGCCATTAGTAAATGATGATAAAATGTATATCAGACACCAATTTACAAAACTTATATAACAAGAAAACAAGACTTCTTACCCGGGAAGGCCACAGTTGTGACATATTGCCACGTTAGGACACTCTCTAGCATAATGCCCTGGCCGTTTACAATTCTTGCATAGATTGTTTTGACTGGGAACAAGAGTTAAACACAGTTAATGATGAGCAAAAATGATAAGCCACACAAGAGTTCTGTGGAAACTCTTCAGAATCCAGGCAGCAAACATATGAGTCCTCAGACAAGGAAAACAAATTTTGAAAACGTGCAAACAATGCATGTTTAAGCCAAAAACACTTCCTTACTCCAAACTTCTTTGCTTGACATGGCAAACAAAAAACTTTATAGGATCTGCCTTAGCAAGCCTCCAACATTAGCTAACCAGCAAATCATTTATGCTCAACAGTAGAACTTCTTATCCAAATTTCAGTAGTCCTCTACTGGAGATAATGCCAAATACTTAAAACTATATTTCAACATTCTATATGTTCATGCTCCATCCTTATTGCTGATGGAAACCTCCAGCAGGTAGTTGTCCATTCAAACCACTTCTTCAACATTAAACTACAATTATATTAGTTCTTAAATTTTCAAAACCCTGGATAACCTTCCCCACGCATTCAGACCCTAAAATCCTGTCTCAATCCACCACAAGTAGTACTTATTTGGTGTTAGAAAGTTATCCTAAAACTTTTTGATTGAATTGTGCTTCAAAAGCAATTCTAACCCTTGGCCTTGAGGAGACAAAATATTCTTTTAAAAGTAATCAATTTATTTTTAGTAAATTCCTTCCCCAAAAAAATCCAAAACCACAATTAAATCCTTCATGCAACTGCCACAATGAAGAAAAGGAAGAAAGATTTGCAAAAGTAGTTATTGTACTGGAGAGTAATATAAACTCAGAAACTACAAGGGAAAAAAAAGAAGCATGAACACAGTTTTCCTGCATGTTGGTCAAACTTTTGTCTTCGCCCTGCCTAAGTTATTTCAAGCTGCTTCAAGGAAAAAATAAAACTAAAGAAAACATCATCGATTCTAGTAGGGACAAGTATCCAGTTTCAATCTTTTAGTCTTCACCACATCCATAATTTAAGGATCTAAACAATGCAATGCTCTAAAGCTAAGTATCAAGAGTTCTAGGAGATCTGCACCTTTTCAATTCTAGCAGTTTCAGATAATAGCATATATATGCAAAAGCAGACCACTTGTTCTAGAGCTTCTAAGAATGTCAGATTCTATGATTATGAAAATCTACCGTTACTCTTTCTTGAATGAATGGAGAAAATAAAATATCCCACATAGCTTAAAAAAAAACCCAGAAAAAATAGCTAGCCCATAAAAAGTAATAAAAACAAAGAAATGATCATGTCTCGATGAAAGATTCAAAGAACAACGACATGTCAATGACGAGAAAGAACAAAAAATCACTACTTTGATTCTTTTAAGTAATAAAAGCTCCAACATAATGCAACAGAATACCATAAACTTGGAAAAAGAACTTCCTTTTAAGAATTGACAACTCTTCGTTTTAAGATGTCTTTTGAAAACTATACAACACAATGGTAATATTTGGCACAATAAAAATACAATCACAACGAACTTCATTCCCCCAAATAGGCAGAAATTTCACGGATCGAAAATACAAAAGAAGGGAGAAAAACTGACAATGTATTATCAAGAACACTACATGATAGTGACATGTAAGATTAAACAATTATTATTCTGATTTTCTAAAGCAATATAAGCTCCAGCTTAGTAAATAGAATTCTGAAAATTTGAGCAAATAACTTCACTCTAAGAAGAGACAACTCTTCATTTTAAATAAGATGTCTTTTAAACACTATATGAGAAAATGGTAACATTTAGTGCCATAAAATACAATTACCAGGAATTTCATCACCCGAAGTAGATGGAAATTTTATGAAGTGGAATATCCGAAGGGAAAAAACTAACTCGATTACAACTATGTTCGAAGTATAAATCTCGGTTCAAATAGTGTGGAAAGACAACTTATTGTGGAAAATATTTTAATTCCCTAGGAAAGAAAAGAAGTAAAGTTGAAATGACTGAAAATCAAAACCTGAAACCCCGACGTGAATCTCTCCTGTAAGGTGCATCACGATAAGAAAAGCGGTCAGAACGGATCTTGCGACCCATAGGGCTCCTGCTCCTGCTTCTGCTACGGCTCCTGCTGTCCGAACTCATTTTCAACTTACCCTTCTTAACACCAACACCACCAATCAGCAAACAAACAACCACCACCACCACTAATAGAAACACACCACCGCAGCTGCTTCCTTCCTGTCCACATTACAACCAGACATCCATGATCATCCATGATACCAAATCAAACTCCCTACTATCTCCTCCAAAACAAAACACCAAATCCCAACAGCAAAATTACAACATTCAACAAGAAACCCCTCCTAGATCAACAACAAATCACTTTACTCATCACCAAGAAGTTGACAACCCAATCCCCCAACAACAGCCCTCTTAGAATTTCATGCATCTCACTTAAAAAATTGTCCCCAATACAGCACAAAGCCCAGATTATCATGCAATCTCCAAGTTCTCAACATGCCATCCACACTGGATGAAAAGATATCGTCAGTTAGAATCCAGCAATACTTTAAAAAAAAAAAAAGAGAAATATACTCTTTTGACTGACAGAAATTCAACTCCCCTCAATTACAAAAGAACTTAATTTTTATAGAAAAGAGGATATTTCAAATTAGAACAGGGAATGAGGAAGAAAGATGGATAAGAAAATCCGGCTACATGTTGCCATTAGAAAATGCTCAGCTACAGGAAAATACTCTTCAGTTATCTTGTAGAGGCTCTCAAACGACTAAAAGTACGAAAGTGGCATGAATTATGAATTTGAAAAACTCCAGGTGACTGGAAAGAAGAATAAATGCTTTTTGATGCATCTAAAAATATATTTTGATGTATTTTATATGCAATAAAAGATTTGCATCGGCCACCCACCAACCCAAATGATGATGGTCACGCTTTCAAAAGATGCCCAGTTCCCACTTTAAGAATCTTCCATATTTTGTCGCCACCTTTCTCTCCCTCTAAAATATCTCCTTCTGCCTCTTTAGATTTTTTCTATCTAGAAACTCTCACGAGAACACAACTGAGAGAAATTTAAAAAACTATAACCAGGCTGCCAGAGAAATCCAAGCTCATGACAGCCATGCATCTGAAATATCTTTTACACTTTTGTTTGCAATTGCCTCCCCACCCCAAAATGATATATTAAGACGTACCTGTTCCTGTGTGCTGATCATCAATCACAACAACATCATGTGCGCCACCGCAAACACCAGAGCACACCACAATTTTCCAAGCTTGGTTAACGACTTAAAGAAAATTCAATCACAAACTTTTTAACGAAGCCAAATGTTCATATGATTGTTTACCACCAACTGTTTCCAGATTCCATTCTCCTGGTTGAACTAACATGAAAGCCCCGCACACACTCCGAAGAAATATGATTTTTACCATATGACTTGTAATATATACCATTTTATCGCCAAAATACATAGTCTAATGTTGTTTCGTATATGTAACAAATCAAATCTATTCCATGCTTAACCACCATAAACCTAGACGGCATGGTTATATCTCGAGAAAACGGGAAAAATAGTAGTGCAAGAGTTCAAGTCGACAGGTATAAAGGAGAATGAGAACCAACATGAAACAGGAGAGAAGTTCCCTTGACAATTTTACATGGCCGATCTGGAAATGCAATTCATGCAACCAAGCATATTGAAATAAGCAGGTAAAACACACAAAAATTACACGACCAAAAACGAAACTTCGAAGAAGAAACTCCCAAAAAAATTCTACCGTTAAACCTAAACCTAAAAAAGACGAATCGAGAAGACAAACAAGATCAAATCTAAAGCTGCAAAAGGGAAAACCTGATTTAATTGAGTTCGCTAAAGTATCTCCTGCCTAGTCAAAAACGTCGTTTCAGCTGTTGAAGCCAATAAAACAAAAATGAAGTCGAACAAAAAATGATGATTTACGGACCGGAAAGAACAGGATGTGAAAATACGATTTGGGGAAGAAGACAGCAGCCGCTAATGGAGAATATTGGTATGACTCGCAGTAACGAAGGTCAGGTTTGTTGTAGGCTCTGACCATATATTTATTGCAGGCTTTTTTGGGCCGACGCCATTGAAATTTTTATTATTTAAACCTTCGTTCTCATTGGGCCTTGGAGAAAAGCCCGTATTGAGAAGAATTTCCATTGAAATCTAGAACTGAAACACATTGATCCAAACTGAACGAACGACCAAATAAAGATGAGGTCCAGACATAAACCGGATTGTTTAATTTCCTTTGGACCGGACTGAACCGGTGCTTCTCGATCCAGTTGAAACTAAAATGGATCAAAATTTTTATTTTATTAATTAAAAAATAATAAAAGATAAAATTATATTTTATTTTTATTTGTTGCATTTAATTTCGAACTGAACCATAGTGTCATTTATATTATTTTATTATATTTTTTATTTTACTAATTATTTTTATAAAACTGAGAATAAAAAATAATAAATATCTTATTTAAAAATTTGGATAAATGAAAATTTAACTTCTAAATAAACACTCATCGAAGCCTCTCAAAAATTTGATTAATTAATTTATTTATTGAAGAATAAAAGTTCTATTTAGAAAACAATTAACACAAGATTACTTAACTTTTTTTTATTAGTTTTATCGAATTATCATGAAAAAAAATGAATTTGGATTTTCTGTATAAATAATTTAAAAAATCCATAATTAAAAAATAATAATACTTATTAGTAATGACATAATAGATACAGTCAATCAATATAGATTGATCTGAAATCTTATTCAAATCTAATATAATACATATAAATATATAAAAAAATGTATTGAATTGATTTTTTCTAATACTAATGGAATCTTTAAATCATATAATCATATAGTAAATATTTTAGTTATACATATTTTATTAGTTTCTCATTTCATTTTATACCGTAAACAGATATTGATTTCGTTGAAATATAAAAACGAGTCGATTTTTAAAATAAATAAATAATGAATTGGTAGATCGGTAAATCTAAATTTATTTTTTATTTTTTATTTATCTA